TGGTCACCAACACTCCTTCTTTTGCCAAGTTAGAAACTGGGGCCAGAGTGTTGTTAAGTACGAGACTCAACACAGCTGGTGAACAGTGAATCAGCTTTATTAACGAAGTCAGAAGAAATCAGAATGAGACAAAAACATAGAGCAACAGGCTCTCTTTTAAACAGTCCAGGCCATGCCCACATGTCAGATAACAACCAATAAGTACTTACAGATAAAGTCCAATCAGAGTGCTTCCCTCCAGAAGATTGCGCAGCTCTGATTGGTCTATTTACAATCCTCAGACTTAAGCTTAACATAGGTTTCAATACATAACAATTCCTTCCCCCTAAGACGGAACAACCTGTGAACACACATAGTCTTTTAGGTAAGCAGGAGGCTGCTTGCTCCTTTGTGACCGTCTTAATGTTACAACCAGGGGACAGCTTGGTGTTTCCCTGTTGGTAGGGCTTTCCCCTATACCTTGGGGCCAGTTTGCCTGAAAACTGTCTTCAGGCGGGTAACTGGGTTCTGTCGTGATACTGGGTGGTTCTCCCTCGTGGGAGTTGTCCGAGCTCAGAAGCTCTACCTGTTCGCCCGTCTGCCACCTCAGTATTGGGCTCAGGGTCTGCCTCAGCCCATTGCTTCCTCAGTTGGTCGATGTGCTGCTTGGAGACACAACCATCTGTAAGCCGTACTGTGTAAGTACGTGAACCCAGTACCTTGGTTACTGTTGCCGGCAACCAACGATGCCCTCCAGCATAGTTCCTTGCATCAACATACTCTCCCTCCTCAAAGCCCCTAGTCTGGTCAGTGGAGTCACTGTGTGGGGGTCTGGATGTGGTTAGGTCCGGGTGCATATGGTCGAGGAGAGTTGTTAAACACTGACCCATTAGCATTTCTGCTGGGCTCCGCCCCGTCACAGAGTGTGGCATGATGTGCTGGAGCAGGAGGAACGACACCACCTTTTGGCTCCAGTTGCCCTGCACCAGCCAGCTCAGAGTCTCCTTTGTAGTCCGCACCATTCGTTCGGCTTGGCCGTTAGTTGCCGGTTGGAATGGTGTGGACGTGCTGTGCTGGATCAGATTTGCCGCCAAAAATTCTTGAAACTCCGAGGTGGTAAAACAAGTCCCGTTGTCGGACACGAGAGTGTCCGGCAAACCATGTGTGGCAAAAATGCAGCGCAGTGCATTAATTACAGTTAGTGCCATCATTTTGGAGGTCGGGACCACCTCCAACCATTTTGAGTACGCATCGACAATTATTAAGAATATTTGGCCCTGAAAAGGTCCCGCAAAGTCAATGTGGACTCGTGACCAGGGCCGGTGACTTTTCTCCCATTGTTATACCGGGGCCTGTGGGGGATCAGGCCGGGACAGCTGGCACTCATTACATCTCAGTACCCAACTCTCGATGTCAGAGTCAATTTTCGACCACCAAAAGTAACCTCGGGCCAGCCCTTTCATTCTTACAATGCCGGGGTGGCATTTGTGCAGCGCCTCAAGAACCTGGTTTCTCGGTTTGGGGGGAACCACCACCCTATTTCCCCACAATAAATATCCTCGGTGGACAGAGAGTTCACATTGCCGTGATGCAAATGGCTTGAATTCCTCAGCGATGTGCCCCACCGGCCACCCCCTCCACACCCAGTTGAGCACCCTGGCGATTGTGGAGTCCTTGGCCGAAGCAGTCGCAATGTCCGATGTGTGCACCAGAGGTTTGGCCAGTTCCTCAAGGACCATTACCTTGAACGTTGGTGCAGGGTCAGAGTCCAGTTCAGGTAGGGGACAGTGGCTGAGGGCATCAGCATGCCCCATGTTCTTGCCAGGCCAATGTTCCAGGACATAGTCATATGCTGACAAGAACACTGTCCAGCGCAACACCCTTGCCAACAATATGTTGGGTGTCTGGCGGTCCAGTGTGAAAATTCCAAGAAGGGGCTTATGGTCAGTGTCCATCACAAAAGGTCTGCCATATAGGAAATCATGAAATTTCTTCACGCCGGCCACAAGCGCCAAGCCTTCTTTGTCTATTTGCACATAATTCCTCTCGGCCGTGGTGAGCGTCCGAGAGTACTACGTGATGGGCGCTTCTCTGCCGTCAGCCATCACATGGCTCAACACAGCCCCCACTCCATAAGGAGAAGCGTCTGCAGCCAACACCAGCTGCTTAGCTTCATCATAGTGTGTCAATATAGCGTCAGACGATAACAGAGTCTTTACGGCTTTGAAAGCACAGTCGTGCTGTGGGCCCCACTCCCACTTTGCACCTTTGACAAGCAGCTTATGTAAGGGTT